ATATCGCATTCCATCATAAGAGGCACATATATGCGCATGCATTGTAGAGAAAATGAAACGTGTAATCCTCAGGAAGAGAAGTTATGTACTTCCTGGAGACAACTCCTCACAGTATAGCATGTAAATGGCTATGCGTAATATTAGCAAGGTGCGTGGATCAAGATTATAAACCGTTCGCTGCATGATACCGCATATTTATATAGAATAACAGAGATAGAATCCCACATACCTGTACGCACGTCTACACCAATATATCAAACGTTGGTGACAACAAATGGGAATGTGTGATTATATAGCTATATATGGAATTTGTACTGATCATAGGCTTAACAATACTTGGGTTATCGTATTTCGAATTCGTTTTGAACACATATATTCTAAGCAATATTCTAATTCCCATGTACTCTATCAAGCAAATTATATGAAGCCTATACAGTGTATTGTTGATCGTCGTCACATGTTGAAAACTTTACAATAGTAATAAATGACATCATATTATCACATGCCTATATAATTGGCGCACACTTTGATAGCACTACTTACACACATATCGTATAGTTTAGTGAAGTCATGGGATTACAAAGCACAAGCTGTTGCACAGGTAAATTGCAATGTATACTTCCATACTGTCGCTATTTAGCCAAGTTATAAATATGATGCTATGTATATCCCGACAAACCTAGTTAGTACATACAAAATCAATTCACTACCTCCATATCTACCATCGTATTCCATCAAGTCATAAAAATAAGGACAGCTAGAACATATACAGGATATAAAATATATACTACCTGCATATCTGCCGCCGTGTTTAGCCAAGTCGTAAGTTTGATGTAAAGTAGACTCTGACTGCTGCGGTTGCGGTGGTGGTGCACTTGTCGGTGGGGGGTATAGGGGGGGATACACTGCACTCCCCTGTTGAGGTGGCATGAGAGGAGATCGTTCGCTCATTGTTTATATTTTGAATTCGAGTATGTGCAGCTGTGAGCTTGGAAGTATATAAAAAAGTGGTTATACATCTGTATAAATACAACATATACAATTATACATATGTACGATGATTACAATGTGTAATTAAACTTTGAGCACCAACATATTTCGATTATGCAAATCTGTGTGGCTGGTTCATTATCATTTGCGATTTGTTCTACCTATCAAAACACAGAACCACTTTTATTTTTGGCCTCCTCTATAATATGTGGAATTCCGAATTTCATACAAACGTATCATGATGTCTGTAGATTGTAGCCTACTGGCCTTCTACTAAAAAAACACGGCCCTCTGGAATCTGGAATAGGGTCGCGAGCAGAAATCAGGTTTTAGTCGTAGCGGAAATCGTAAATCTAGCGAGACCCGGATCATAGCCTCCTAAAATAGAACAACCTGATCCAGATTCCAGATGGCCGTGCAAAAAAACACAAATTTCGTACAACAAACTGAAACTTCAAACTACCTCGGAGAGAGAGAGAGACGACGACGGATGAACGGACGAAGAAGCATGTGGTAAAAGCAATATCAAAGCCCTCTTGTCTCTCTTGAACAGCAATATAAATGCATACATCTTTTATTTATATTTTGATAATTACATCTGTCCTCTGTAGGGCGGAGGCGCTAAATACTTGTGCTCGTCGATCTTTCCGTACTATGTACATCCTACAGGTATATGTACAGCCTACAGGTCTATGTACAGCCTACAGGTCTATGTACAGCCTACAGGTCTATGTACAGCCTACAGGTCTATGTACAGCCCAGCAATAGGTTCAAGGATGATGGGCATCAAGATCATCCTTCGAAATGGAGTATGTACGCAACTACGGATTACCCACAACGCTGGCAGCCAAATGATCAATGGATGGCTCCTGAAGGACCAGAACTCCTGATGATTGTCGAACAACAATATTATATGTAGTGCACGTGGACAAAAAACTGATGACACATTGTTCTTGTGTTGAGAGTCATAATGATATTTCTAAAAATAAAAATTAAAACGAAGAAGATGTCCTACATATATATCTCGGAAGAATCTGTCAGTGCACTTACTAATTACAACCCGTGAATCAATTCTTTCAGTGAAGATGTCAGTCTCAGAAGAGCCAGAAACCCTCTCCAATATTCTCAAAAAGGGTGAAGTACCTGCCGATCAACCTATTCAGAACGACGATGGATCACTGAACCTTGCGAACCAACAAGCGTTGGTACATTGTGGACGCTGCAGTTCTTATTTTATGGCATGTGCATGTGAGATGGATGGGCATGGGATCGACAGTGTGATTACGGGCGCTCCTGATCCTAGAGTTGATGCGAAGCCCATTGAGCTTCTCAGGCGGTGGGCTTCTCTAATGGTGCTTATACCCACACTCTACCAGTTTGATAGCAAGGCCTATGTTGAGGAAGACGGGCCAGCACTGAGTAAGGCCTTGGAAGAGAGTGGTAGTAAGGTTGTAGAAATGACTGAGGCATATATCAAGATGAACCATCCCGTCACAGATCAGATAGCCAAGATGTTTGAGAGTTGGAAGCTGCCGCTGTCTGAAGCACCCAAGCAAGCCGTACATGACGAACTACGTGCGAGCACAAGAGCGTTTATAAAAGGGGATTTCGCATGTGTTACAAAGATTGGAAGGGTGATGATCAACAACGCGTTCCAGATGTGCGACCAGTCTAAATACTCAATGAATGATCTAAAGCTACAGGTCATGTTTGTTGTGCTCAACGTTCTTGACCAGGTATGTTCTCTTTAGTCTGTATACTTTATATGTTTGGCAGTCGCCCAAGTTGTATCCGGATAATAAATTGTTGCAAGTGTTCTGAATATGTTGTCACGCACACAATTTTGTAAATAGAGCCACACCAGACATTCAAATGGGGAAATTGGCGGGAGCACGTATACAATGTAAATCTTTTGGTTTCCCGGAATATGTTGTTCTCGGGGAGAAGTACAAAATTATTGATGGGCTATTCTTTGTAACGGGATACTCAGAAGTTTGGCGATAAGGTCATATGAATGTATTTCTCTATAAGCATAAGCAATCTCGATGAGTATTGTCAAGCTGTTAAAGGAAATGTATATGCGTCTTTTGGCATGTCTTCTATCAATTTGTAGTTCATTGCTACGCCAATTGTGCATTGACGCACGCGATTGAATGCGCGCGCTCCATTGCGTTCGCATCAAAAATACTTGTATTATCGCCCCAAGTTTTTCACACTTGCACTTGAACGCAGGTCTGGTCGTTCGTACACCAGTGGCAATAATTGCGATTGTGCGTGTTCGTACACAATTTATACAACACACATTTCAAAGAAAGGCATAATCACTTATTTCGTTTGCAAATGTATCATATATATATATATTCGTTTACATATGTATCTGTGGTATACAATATCCAAAACCAGTTTTCAGCACATTCTATATATACACTCTGCTCTATGAGCAAATGTTTGTGATTATTTATGGCGGCATTTTCCTCTTTTTATCTGTTGTTCGTATACATTAGCGCATGTATATGGTAAGAAAGACATGTGCACGCCCGTGGATCCTTTAACGCGTTTATGTAGTAGTTTTTGTTTTACATTTAATTTGATCCGTTTAAACGATTTATAATAATCACGTGCGTATAGTGAAATTTCTGACGAACATATCCTATCAAATGTAGCTCTGTTGATGCACGCATGTCATGGGACGTTATTCACATGCAGTTTTGGCCATTTTTTGATATAATGATCTTCATACCATGGCCAGGTGATGTCTATCGAATTCACGGCACCATACCAGTTCCTGAGCATGGAGGCCTATAGGAGTGAGAGTGTAATTGCCAAACAATTTTGGGATAAATACACCAGTGAGGAGACATGAAATCAATTAAATGGCACATTTAAACATTGCCAGTAACCAGTCAAGTTCGAGTCTACTTTCGAGAAGCATTGGTTCGATTCATGATATGGTGTTCGAATGCAAAACCCATGATGCAATCGACAGTTCGTACACAAGCACAATCATTGTAGGCAGAATCTCTGTGCCACCGTAGTTAATTAATAAGGCAGTTTTTATTCTGTACGTCTATATGCATGCCTATGCATAATCGCAAATGTACAAGTTATACACACACACATATATATATATATACACACACATATATAAATATACGTATATATATATATATATACTACGCACACACTATTATATATATACTATATTATATATATATATATATATATATATATATTACTTTCTACTACTACACACACACTATATATATATATATATATATATATATATATATATATATATATATATATATATA